TCCCTCGTTGGACCGTGGACTCGGTACAAGTTGTGAGAATAGAACATATTTCCAGTGAGTGTTTTTTTCTATATTTATTCTTCCAGTGTCCTAATTCCTTAACACTGTCTATCTTTTTCAAGAAATCACAGGACGGTAATATCAGCATCCTTATGAAGAAATATAGTCGCCTTACCATATTTAGATATCCTCCTTCATTGGCGAATCGCGTGCATTCGAGACAAATACAGGCGTGAGCATTGTAGGATCATAACTTAAGTTATTTTTGTAATGAATAAATCTCATCCTTTCCGCACATTATCCTCAGCCACTCTTCTGTAAGCCTATAAGGTGTGTATGAAATAATGTACTAAATCATGTACTATCTCGTCAAGTGACAAAAGATTATATCTATATTTGGTTAGACTTTTCCGCAAAAATACCTATTGAAAACTCCATAGCAATCCTCCCTGTCGTTCTTGTTAGGACCTGCCACATAACTTTAAAAATCATATGAGGAGTATAGCGACGTGCATTTACTAAGATATTCGTTGAAAACCAGCTTTTCTTTATATGTTCGAAAAGCTTTTGATGATTTACCCTAAGATGCCTGTCTATATTCTTACTTATTTTTGGTCTTGTCAGACCCTCCTACATGATGCGGAGAAGATAGCTTGTCAATTTTCACCTGCATATACATATTGTTCGCCATCAGTGTTGATACCTCATTGATATTCAAGCGGTTATCAAGCAATTCTATACATGGTGAGATCAATAAATTGAAGGTATTAGATGTGTATTGCTTTCAGACTTTATATTTATTCCAATCAAGATGTCTCAAATGCTTGATAACTTTATATTACTATTCTATCCTTTCTTTGTCTTTATCTCATCTTTGATTTTTATTAGTTTTTTTTCACATTATCACCTATCTCTTATCTGTCCTTTTACTTTGTGCTTTGGCCTGTCCATAGACGTCTATTTTCTCTTTTACTTGCCTGTTTTTATTATTTTTTAGGCAGTCCCTCAAATGGCCGCGTATATCTCCTTGTAACTGGTGATTCCTATGCTGTGAGCCAAGCCATCAGTATAATAGAGCAACACAAATCGTCAAGTTTTTCTTCTGGCGCCTCTTTGACTCCACTACCCTTGATTCTGCCCTTGGTTTCCGGTACATCTTTGATTCCAGGAAGCTCTGCTCTAGGCCATATTTTGCCCGGGCCACCTGCATCCCCTGAGCTACTCTGCTTGAGGTCATCTACCGCATTTCAGTCTCCACCATCGCAGCCAGCAATGCCAGTACTACCCGTTGCTGTCTCTCTGCACAGCTCTACAGAAATTGCGAATTCATCGGGGACTTCCTTCTTGTCCGACGCACCTCTTCGTCATGGTGCAATCATGTTGCCCGACCTCAGGCCACAAATTTCTGGAACTCCTGTATACTACTCTTCCTCCCTACATCCATCCTCATTGCTCGTATCTGCATCTGCTTCTTGCTCTTCTGCACTTTCCTCCCCTGAGGGAATTACTGAAAGAGCATTATCAGCCGAAGCAGTAAGATCTGTTTCTGGGCCGTTAGTTGGGGCCGATTGTGCCCCTGGAGGGTTGGTGTCCACGTGGAGGGCAGCGCAGATACCTGATTGCTTCCCCGCCCCTGTTGAGAAAAATTCGTCAGTTAAAATGTTTAAAAATAAACAATCGCCTCCATTATCGCCACCACTGTCTCTCCGATCCCTCCTGCCATCACGGCCTCTTCATTCAGGCCGAATGCTGAGTTAATGCCTGACTAGCATGACCACTCAGATAGTGTACACTCAGACTAGCAATGCCCCTCGGCCACTGACTCTTAGTTTCTGGTTCTATTCGTTTTCCTCAAATTAATCATGAGATAATTTTGGGGTTGTCACTCATCCCACTACTTACTTTTTTAAAAGAGCCATTTATCTTCCATTCTGCTCCATTTCGTTTAGTAATAAGCCCACTTTAGAGTTTGATCGCGCTTCTTGTTGAACATTTTCCGTCAACAGTTTAATTACGGCATTGCTTAAATCCACCTGCTGCGTTG